ATCCCACTGCTGGATTCTGAGCTTGAACCGCTGCTCCCCGCATCGCTCACGGCGTCAATCACACACGACGACTCCCCGTCATCGCCGCTGTCTTACATCATCGGCAGCGCCTTCCTCCGTCGCCGCGCTCGCTTTCGCGCAATCCCCTCCACCACGCCCACCACCTCGACCACGCTCCACCAGCCAGCCCCAATCACAGCCTTGCTGTCGGCGTCAAACACCACCCACCGCCGGACCATCTCGCGCAGCAAATCCTTCACCCGGGCCGCAGCACACCCGCCACATGCGCCATCTCCTCACGTGTTGGTCGTAGCCGCATAGCAGAGCACATGCACGTGTTAATTGCTCTATGCAAGAAGCCGAAGCTGTTGCTCATCCGCGTTACATGCCGTTGCGGGTGAAGAAGCCCGACCCGAGGTGGCGGCCGTTGAGATGAACCTCGCCGCAGACGTCGACGGGCATGGTCGTGACGGGGCCGGCGCAGTGCCTGCAGGCGGAGTCGATGCACTCGGTGATGGTCGTCCTGTTGGAGGCGACCGAGATGTGAGCGTAAAAGTCGTTGGTGAGCGCGATGCACGACGAGGTGTCCATGGTCGCCACGATCTCATTCTGCTTGTGGAAGGCGCATGAGGGCGAGCCATAGTTGTCCCATATCTGCCACGAGACCGGAAAGTCGGCCACGGACGGCGGAGCGGAGTTGATGCACGTCGCCGACATGTAGTAATCGCTGCCCGGGATCTGATGGCAGGTGATCGGCGTACATCCGCCGTTGTGCGTCCCATGAAGCGCAATAGCCGACGACTGCGGCCAGCACATGTTGTTCTCGTACAGCCGCGCCGTCTGCCACCACCCAGCCTCGGCCTCTCCCGTCAGCAGTACCGTCAACACCGCCACCACCAGTGCCACCCGAGCCACGGTCACCGCCGTAATAGTCATTGCAGAACACAAGGAGCGTATGCAAAACAGAGTCGAGTTGTGCCCTCCCCCGTCCTCCTTCCCACCTCCCCCTTCCCCTCACACTCCCGTTTCCTCTTCCGCTCCAATCTGCCTCCACCACTTGCGCGGCACGTGCTCTCCACCTCCTTGACCGCCGGCCAGCCGCCCACCTGGCCAACAACATCTACTGGCAGGATCTCAACCCGACCACCCAACACAAACACACCTACAGAACCGCAACAACACACACACGCCCATTCACAACACATACAACACGCATGCGCATACGCATACGCATACGCATACGCATACGCACATCTATACACACATCCATCGCATGCATCATTTATCAGTACCGGTACCGTCCATTATCATCATCATCTCTCGTAGGCTTAAACTAGTCGTTCGGGCCATCGACTATTCCCGGCTTGCCGCACCATTCGTTCTCCGACCATTCAACACACCTTCACCACCTGACCCCCTTCCCCCCCCCCCACCCCACCCCCCACCCCACACCCCACCCCGCCCCACCCCACACACACACCCTCTCATCCTACATGTCCTCTCACGGCTCTACCTCCTCGCGCCGCTCCTCACGCCGCTCCTCCTCACGCCGCTCCTCCTCCCGCTCCCACCGCGCCCACCACTCCCACCACTCCCACCACTCCCACCACTCCCACCACGGTCACACTCCGTCGCAGGCAAAGACTCACGTCTCGCACTTGGTCGCCGGCAAGGCTCCAGGCTCTGCCACCGGTCGCTCCTCGGTCGCTCGCTCTTCCACCCGCCGATCGCTTCTCTCCACCCGCCGCTCCACAGGTGGAGGTGGCTCGTCCTCACGCCGCTCGCTCGCGTCGTCGGCCTTTGGCGGCCATGATGCTGCAGATGGCTCAGTTGTCGGTCCGCTTCTTGACACCCTCGAGCCGCCCGAGTGGGTCGGCTCTGCCAAGGCTGTCGTCGTTGACACGCCCGAGTGGAAGCACCTGAAGGCGCTGGTGTATGACAAGCTCCAAACACATCTCAAGGCCTCGCGCCTCGCCTCTTTCTCCGAGCTCGACGACGAAGCCAAGCTTCTGTTCATCCAGCGCATCGAGCTTGAGCTCGCTGCCGAGCCGCTCTACCGTCAGGTTGCATACCGAGTTGCCAACTCAGTCGACGCTGCTCTCTCGGCCTCGGCCGAGGCCGCGCTCCGCTCGCTCACCTCGTTTGGCACCTCGGCGTATGGCACTCGCTCCAAGACCGACGCCCTGATCGACTCGGCATCGGCCGCCCTCGTCTCGCTCCTTGACAAATGGCCCGATCAGGAGCGCAACCTGGGCGTGCTGGTCAACCAACGCCTGGTCAACCCGCTGCGCGCCTTCATCTGGCGCCGTGCCCTCATCCATCCGGCCGCGGAGCGCGAGTATGAGCTCCGCGTCGCCGACTCGGCCCTCGCCACCTTTGCCGCAGACGACGAGACCGTCACCCTTCGCGTCCGCGAGCTCTTTGTCACCGTCTTTCCGCACCTCCGCGTCTCGGTCACGCAGATGACCGCCATGAAGACCATGATCTCGTACTACGCCACCCGCGCCTCGGGCCCCGTTCCTGAGAGCATCTACTACCTCGCCCTTCCCCTTGTCCTTGTCTTTGAGGACGCGCTCGCTGCCCGCTCCGCCTCCACCGCCCCGCTCGTCGGCTATCTTATGCGCCTTGCCAAGATGCCGCGCCCACGCCTTGTCGCAAACTCGGCTCGCAAGTCGGAGCGACAGGCTTCGCACCAGTTTGCTGCCCAGTTCTCGGCGCTGCTCAATGCCGCGGACCCCGAGCTCCACGCCGCCCTCCTTGCCGTCTTCCAATCGTCGGCAGACGCCGGCGAATCGACCGCAGCCACCCTCGCTACCCTCCTCTCCCAGCCGGTCGAGCACGCCTTTGTCGGCACAACCTCGATGGACGTCACCCTCTACATCTGGGACACATGCCTTCTCTTCGGCTTTGATGCCCTCTACTACTTTGCCACTGTCCTCGTCATGCTCCTCCGCAAGGGCCTCCTCCTCTGCAAGTCGGTCACCTCCCTCCAGCGCCTCATTGTCGACCAGGCGCCGACCCTCTCCTACACTCAATTCCAGTCTGCCATTGCCCAGCACTTTCTCCCTTCACTCCGCGCAAAGCTCGAGCTGCCCACCCTCGATTCGATGCGCGAGCTCGCTTTTGCCACTCCCTCGTTCGCTTCGGTGCTCCCCGACGCCAACCTGGCGTCCTCGGCAGGCTTTTGGGACGCGCCGCTTGTCCCGGCCGACGTCATCACCCTTCTCGCAGAGACCATGGGCCCAGCCGTTGCCGCCGGCCGCGCCTTTGCCGGCCTCACGCCCGACGACGCCAAAGCCGCCATGCAAGCCCGACTCGACGCCACCACCTCGGCCACTGTCCATGACGTCCTCGGCCTGGCCCCCTCGTCGCCGCCACAACGCCGCCTCCCGGCCCCCGGCCAACCAGCGCGCTTCGACACAGATGGCCGCTTCCTCGCCCCGGGCATGCCCGGCAAGCGCCTCCCTGCTGCACGCACTGCGGAGCTCATGCGCAAGTGGCGCCTCATGGCCTGGCACGCCGGCATCTGGGCCTCCTTCCTCCTCGGTCACAAGCGCTACACCCCACATGCAGAGCCCCCGGCCCCGCGCACCCTCGCATCGACAGGCGGCAAGCCCTCCACCATCGCCGCAGGCGCCTCGGTCTTGCTCCGGCCCATGCTCATTACCCACAACCGCATCGTCGTCAAGCTCGCCGTCCCACCCATCTACCCGGCCGTCGACCGTCTCTCCGACACCCTCGACCGCCTCTCCGAAGACCCGCGCAACCGTGGTCTGTTCCCCGCCAACGCCGACGAGCGCGACGACTTTGTTGTTGCCGTCGAGGATCGCCTCTTCCGCTACCTTCCGTTCATGGAAGACGATACTCGCCTCGACATTCTCCGCATTGAGCTCCCACCCCGTCTCGACGGCTCGCGCCCAGCCATCTTCCTCAAGCCCACCCCAGGCCGCTCCGGCAAGTATCAGGTCCGAGCCGCCCTCCGCCGCAACGGCCTTTCGCTCTCACTCTTTCCCAAAATCATGGGTGTATACTCGCAGGTCACCGGCCTCAGCCAGCCCGACGACCACGACATCATCCCGCACTCGCCCCGCGCAGACGACCGGCTCGATGTCACCGACTCGCTCATCCCAGGCATTCCTGCCTCAGCCGCCGCCTCGGCCGTCCGCCGCTCCTCGCAGCAGCGCGCCCAGGGGCCAGCCTCGCTCGACTCGACGCCGCGCTACCCGCGCTCCCCGCAGGCTCCCGGCAAGCATGCCCTCTCGCCGCCTGTCGCTCCCGACGTCGACGAGTACGAGTACGAGTACGAGTACGACGACCTCTCTGGAGCACTCGGCGGTGACGGCGATGCTGCCGAGCCGGACGCCGACGTCGACCCGGCCAACGCCCCAGGCCTCACCAACCTGCAGAAGTTCTTTGTCGGCGTCGTCGGCTCTGCCATGGAGTCGGTCAAGCTCCTGGCCCTCGGCGACGAGCGCGACTACTCCAAGCTCCTCGCTACCGTCCAAGGAAAGCGCGACGTCCGCTCGCGCGACCTGTACGACGCTGAAATGGCCGCATTTGGCAAGACCCTCACTCAGCAGGAGATCGCCCGCCTGCCCAACAAGCAGCTCCAGGTCTACAACAAGAAGGTCCTCCGCCGCACCCACTCCAAGGAGGACGCCCGCTACAAGGAGGAGCTCCGCCGCCGTGTCGAGCGGCGCCGCGCCGCAGACGAAGCCGCCTCACTCCTGGGCCGTGATCCCCTCACTCTTGGCACGCCGCTTCAGTCTCGCAAACCCACCCCAGCCGCGGCTCCTTCGCCCACCGCGCTTCCGCTAGCGCCGGCTGACCCGACGCCTCCTCCTCCTGCTGCTGATGCTGCCGCCGCCGCTGCTACCGCTGCCACCGCGGTAGATGACATCTCACCTGACGCCGCACCTGGCGACGCCGCACCTGGCGACGACGCCGAGTTTGAATATGCCTACGAGTATGAATACGACGATGAGCTCGCAGACGCTTCCCCGCTGCCGCCCACCCAATGAATACTTGGTTTTTACTCGTTGTCGCTCCACGCCTGCTGGTTCTCGTCAAATAGCTGGCCCTGTTCAAGCGCGTCGTAGTCGCTGGGATCGATCGCCGGCAGCGAGTCTTCGAGCGTCTCGGCCGAGTAGACATCAACGTCGAGGTCGACGTGCGACGGCAGCGACATTAGCCGTTTGGTCCCGGACTGCGCCCGCTTGTGGCTCCGTGCCCGCACCGATGCCACGCTAGTGCGCCCTGCGTCAACGCCGAGCCTCTTGTCCGCCGGCGGCTCCTCGTCGGTCCGGTACACAGCTTCGAGCAGCGCAACGAGCGTCGACTGCTCTTCGGGCTCCAGCGTAGCGCCGATCTTGGACGCAAGCAGGGGTCCGTCATGAGGCAAGAGCGAGGTGAGGACCTCCAGTTCCTCGCCTCGGTCGTCGGTGGCGGCCTTTGGCGCAACCGAGGTAGCGCAGAGCGAGGTAATCTTGGCCTTGACCTCGGTGGCGATGACAATGGCAATGACAACGGATGAGATGATCATGACCGTAATGACCGCCACGGTGATGCCCTGGCGGGTCGAGCCGGAGACCTCGTCATTGGCAAAGAGAATGCCGGCAAAGATGACCATAAACGACGAGATGAGGAGGACAATCTCGAGCATGTTGTACTTCCGCCGCTGGAACGGGCGGGTGCCGGCGGTGACCAGGACCGAGGCAAAGATGATGAGGACGGCCAGGATCGACTGGAGGATAAAGTGGGCGGTGAAGAACTTGGCGGCAACAACAATGGCGAGCTTGCGGAGCATGATGGTCACCTCCCAGTAAAAGTACTTGGTCTGGAAGCGCTTGACGAAAAAATTGGTGGCTGCCGCCGACGGCAGATCGTCGCCGAGCTTGACCCGCAAGACGTAGAGGAGGACAAAGAGCGCTCCGGGGACGCCGACAACGTACACCACAACGCCAGCAACGCCCAGCGGGAGGTGCTTGAACCACTCGTCGTCATAGCAGTAGAGCGATGGATCGGCATCCAGCGACGAAGTCCCGTCACCCTGCTTGGTGCAGTCAAAGAACTGCAGTGTGACATCGACGAGCACAATGTAGGCGAGGGTGAGGAAGAGGAGGAAGCCGGCGAGGAATAGCTGGCACACAAATCGCCGCTTCTCGCCGCCATTCATCTGTGACCACTCGGACGGTACGTCATCGCCGTCGGTAGCAGCGGACGCCGCAGCGGCGGCGGCGGCGCGGCTTGCCTCCGAGTGCCTGTAGCTCACCCATGCGAGAACGACTCCCAGTGCAAAGAGGTAGAAGATAAGGACAACGACGGGGAGAAGCATCATGGCCTGCCACTTATCGTAGAACGAAACTTCCATTGAGCACTCGGGCGAGAGGAGCTCCACGTTGATGTTGACGAGCGAGACGACCGAGAACATGTCCACCACAGCCTTGGGCCACGGGATGCCAAACGAGGCAAAGACGGCCGTCATCTGGAAGAACGAGATGGCGATCGACGGCGCAGCAATGGCCGACGACGACGACGACGACGAGCCCGCAGCCTTGCTCCCGCCGCGCGCGCCCTTTTGCGCCCCAGTCGACGACGGCTTGGCCAGGTGCACAAGGCCGAGAACGGCGACAATGCCGATGACGCCGGCGGTGACCAGCTTCCAGCTCGAGTCGGTCGACGGGCACTTTTGGCAGTACTGATTGAGCTTGTAGTAGCCCGGCGCGCATTCGGAGCACATCCGTCCAATGTAGCCGGTAGAGCAGGTGAGGTCAGCCTTGCAAGCCTCGGCAGGCACGCACTCGAACATAATGGCCGAGTCGCCGCTCGCCCGCCAGTACCCGGGCGCGGCCTTGGGGTATCGGTTCTCGCCCCACACGCAGACCATGGCCTTGCTGCACGCCACACACCCGCCGTCAACCGGGTCACCGTAGAACCCGTTGTCGCAGGTGCAGTTGTCAATCGAGACACGCGGCCCGTCGTCGAGCGGCGGCATCGACGAGTTGGTTGGGCACGAGAGGCACGTCGCAAGCCCAGCCTCGGGCGCGTACTTGGCCACCGGACACGTCGAGCACTCGGAGAGCCCGGCCTTGGCCGCGTACCATCCCGCCGGACAAGGGGTGCACGCCCCGTCGCGTGGGTTGCTCGACATGGTTCCCGGCTCGCACGGCGTGCAACTCGCCGCGCCGGTAACCGGCGCAATCGTTCCTGGCGTGCACGTCCGGCACTCATCCGCGTCAAGCGTGTCCGAGAACAGGCCGATGGCGCAGGGCGGGCAGGCTTGGAGCAAGGTGCTGCTTGAGTCGGTGCCCATGCCTGGGCTCCACGACCACGCCGGCTTGGCCTGGGCCGTCCCACGCGGGCACGGCTCATAGGTGACAGTCGCCGACGTACCAAGGAAGAACCGGTACGTCTCGGGCGGGTCGCCGGGAATGACCACGTTGCTGAGAACAGTGAGGGTGATGTCGACGGCGCCCGACGGGTGCGACGGGACAGCGCAGTGGACTTCGGAGGCAGTCAGCCGGAGCACGTTGGTCTCGATGTAGCCGTCGGGCACCTCGCCCGGGTCGGTAGGACTGTAGCCAACAAACTTGCCCGACGACGCAAAGGCGCAGCGGAGAAGTTCGGGTGGGACGTCGTCGCGGCTAAAGTCGTAGGCTGTCGGATCAAAGGTGGCGGAAGAGCCGCCACCGCCAGCGGTCGACGCGGTGAGGCTTGCTACCAGTTGGACAAGCCGCCCAAACGAGCCATGCAACACGACCGGGCTTGCAGAGCCGCGCGGGTCGAGTGCCTCGGGGCTCGCGCGGGAGATGTACGCCGGAACGTGGAAACGCATGACGTCGTTGGCGACGGCGGCGTGGTCAAAGCCGCCGGTGACAATGACGTCGCCGGCCGACGAGACAAGCACAGACGCAGCGTCAAAGCGCGGCGAGGGAACCTTGCCGGTGGCGTGGGTGTTGTACGCGACAACAGCAAAGGTGGCGGCAGCGACGTCGATGACCAGCAGGTCGCCGAGGGCGTTGCCGGATGCATCCATGCCGCCGGTGACGTAGACGAGCTTGGCCACGTCGTCGTAAATGGCGGTGGCGCGGGCAATGGCCGGAAAGGCGCTGCCAGCCGAGCCGCTGCCAGTCAGCGTCAGCTGCTCCCAGGCGAGGCTGCTGGGGTTGAAACTCCACACCGCGTTCGTGACGGCGAGTGTCGTCGATGACCACGGGCCAGCCGGTGGCGGCGGGTCAGACGGGTCGGCAGTGACAAGACCACCGACGAAGAGAAGCCTGTCAGTCGTGGCGGCGGCGGCAGCAAAGGCGCGACCTTCGCTCGGCTCACCATCAGTGCTAGGTGTGGACCAGGTCTGGGTGGTGAGATCAAAGGCGTAGAGCCCGGTCTGAGGGACGTCAAGGGCGTCGAGTCCACCGTAGACGTACAAGACGTCAGCGCCGCTGGCGGCCGAGTACAGGAGCGCATGGCCAAACCGCGGCGACGGCATGGCGAGAGAGAGACATGCTGAGCCGGGACACACTAGCTGCCACCGCCCTGGAAGGACAAACTTCCACAGATCGTCGTGGATCGTACCCACGCCCTTGTCCATCTCGGGAGACGACTTGCCGCCCATCATGTACATGGCGTACGGGGCCTGAGCCGACGGCTGTGGGACGAGGGTGGCGGCGTGGTACGCGCGCGAAGCCGGAAACTCGCCGACAACGGCAAAGGCGGCCCAGGGCGAGGACGTTGCATCCTGGCCGTCGCCCTGTGACTGGCGGTTGATGTAGGTGAAATTGGTTGTCCGCACCAGGCCGGGGTTTGTGCAGTCACGGGTGACGCCTCCATAAATGACGGTGTAAGCAGCGTCGTCAAGGATCATGGTGGCACCGGTGTGGCCAGCAAGTGGCACCATGTCCGCGACAAGCTCGTCGTCGGTGCATTGCGGCAAAAGGTCGGCCTCGATGACTTGCCAGGTGTTGGAGACGCCGACAGCACAGGTATCGCCGGCAAACGAAAAGTAGCAGAGGCAGGCGCACGAGGCTGACGAGCACTCGCAGAGGCCCTGGTTGGAGCACTCGTCGGTACACGGGGCCGGACACACAGCGTTGGTAGCAGAGTCTTGCTGGTACAAGTAGTCGATGCACGAAGTGTCCTTGGGCTTGAGCCTCGAGCCGTCGACACACTCGCCCAAGCCCTGGTCAAAGCACCAGCCACAGTCCACATTGGCGGTGCAGGAGCTACAGTCTTCGATCATGCTACATGAGCACGTGGTGATGGCCGGGTCTGAACAGGAGAAATCGGAGCTGTCGAGGCACACGCTCTTTCCATCGCCTGCAATGCCGCTACCGCACCAATGGCACGAAGAGTCCTCGTTGCATGACGAGCAGCTCGTCCGCGAGCCGCACGTCTGGCTGTTGCAGTTGGGTCCCGAGTAGCCGGCGTAGCAATTGCAGACACCGTTGGCGCACGCGCCGTGGCCGTTGCACGAGCCAGGTGTGCACGACGTGGTGACGCACAACGGCGAGCTCGATACGCCATGAGCGCAGTACTGCAGGCTAAAGCCCGCGTTCTGATGCGAATCGTCCGAGACAAAGGTAATCATGGCTTTTGAGCCTGGAATTTCGACAAACTGAGGCACCGAGTTAAAGTCGGGGCCGTACGGTGTCGAGGTTGAGGTGTAGGGCGGCAGGCCGGCATTGGCGACGTCGTAGGTGAAGAGCTTCTTGGTGCTGTCGACATACGCGCCCTCGTAGATGGTGACTGAGTCGTACTGTGGCTCGAGCCAGACATAATCAAAGGCAAGGACGATGGACGAGGCGCCGGGCACGTCGATGACGTGCTTGCAGTTCATGTTCTTGACGTAGCAGTCGTAGCCGGTCGAGGGCAGAGCGAGACTGCCATCGGGGTTGGCGAGGACGGTCGGCGGGCCGGAGCAGGTCGTAGTGGCGTAGTCGTGCGGCGGTGGGACATAAGTGTGGCCATCGGGGTCGGGGTCCATGGAGCACTCTTGTGGGTCGTGGCAGTTGGTGTTGCACGTGTGCAAGACTTCGTCGCCAACCCCGATGTTGCAGCACGAGGCGGCCGAGTTGGAGCGCTCGTGGCAGTGGTCGTTGTACTCGTCCGTCTCAAAGGTCGAGGCACAGTCCGGATCGACAATGCCGCACCCGCAGTCGCAGGTGATGCCGTCATTGTACTCGGTCGGCGCGCAGAGCCAGCCAGCTGGCGGCGGGGGAGTGACCGAGAGAGTGACCTCGACCGAGCGCATGCTCGGCATCGGTGGCTGGAAGCCACGAATGGCGACGAGGACGTAGTACGAGTTGCCAGGTTTGGCAGTAAAGGTGATTGTCTCCATCGCGCCAAACGTACATTCGCCAGCAGTGCCGATCTGCCTTGCCTTGCACCGAAGACAGCCGCCACTCATAGCGGCGTTCTCCGACTCGAAAGCCATCAGGACAGTGTCGACATCCGTGACGGCCGAACAGGTGTTGAACGAGTACGTTTGACCATCGCCATGCAGACGAATCCAATGGTATGGCCCCTTGTTGTAGCCTTGCTTGTCGCATGGAGGCGGGAGCGGGTTGTTGAGCCATGGCTCTTGGTCAAAGGCTGAGCCATCCAGAGGGACAACAATGGCCATGTTATCCGGAGGAGATGCACCCAGATCCGTCTGCCAGCTTGGATTAGAAGAACCGCATGGTCGCGGCGAGGCAAAGTCGTTCCCGAAGACAACATTGCACATGGTGCCCAGGACGATGACGACGACAATCCTCAGCGTTGCCAAATTCTCGGTTCGAGTCATTGTTGACGAACGGTGGTGGAGGTGGGGGGGGGGGGGGGGGGGGGGGGGTTTTTAAAGGGGTTGGGGGGGGAAGAGGGGGGAAAAAATGCCTGGATTTTTTTTAAAAAAGGGGCGGGCG